GCGAAAAATAAAATTTTATCAAAAAAATCTGCATCGGCCATTTTGTTCAGAATTCGACGCTGATTCCAGATATGTGACTTTCAATCGGAAATTTTTTGAAACGAAAAACCGACTTATCGATACTACTCCTTTCCTTAACGTCATTGGTAATAGTAAATCGACTAATTTATCAACGTCTTTGTCGACATCAATATTGAGTAACTGAAGACACGATGTTCACGATATACTCAGATTATTGTAATTTGATCATGAACAAACTGTCGAATTGTCCATTATTACATTAGGTAACTCTCTACCCATGTCAAATTCGACTTCACAATAAAGTAGGATAGAATAAGAAATCGAATTTTTGAAGCTCAGTCCAATACACTACTGCCCGTAGGACTAGTTATAACGGATGAAACTGAGAAATGATGGCAATATGATGATGTGCAAAATTGTTTACCGTTGCAAAAGCGGCGCACAGTGGCCAGACACGGTAGAAAGGTGACAACGGTACTTTTCCTCTACAGAAACTGTTTTAACGGGTATGTCACCGTTCAGCAACTGACTGGATAGTGATAGAACGAATGATAGGCAAATGACGATGTTGTCTGGCCCACTATTTTACCTGTGGAAAAGAAAATAGCAATGTGTTCATTTATTCACACAAGTCGATGAGAAGCGGAACAAGGGAAGAAATTACCTTTTGAAATACTTACTATGCATACTCAGTGAAGCAGAGACAACGGCAAAACAGTATCATTAATACACATCTGCCACTCACACCATCATAAAAATAGTCAACCAGAAACATTTAAATTCTAGGCAAGTAATTCACTCTCAATTTCACAAATTTGTTTGTCAATTGAATTTCGCAATAAAGTAAAGTTATGACGTCGAACAACGGATATTATACAGAGGAGATAGAGCATACTTAACAGTTCTAGAAGTCTACGATGCAGCTAGTTCTCGCATCTTTATTCAAAAATAAAATTTGAATATAGTGGAAAGTAAGATGCACGTAATGTAAACTTGGAGTGAAATTTTTTTTCTAAGATATTATACATCATTCGTTGGAGTTTTTTGAGCTGATCAAAAATATGTAGTTTCTAGTTTTTCAAAACATTATTTTCATGTCGAAAAATCGATGATGTTCATAAAAGTTGGATTTTTGGACTTTGGTTTTTGGCCGGAACGTTCAAACTGTTATTTTCTTATCCTTAGGGTTGAAAGGTCAAGACAGTGCATATGGTGTTCCATGTTCATGTGGGGATATTTATATCGGCGAGACTTGCTCGTTTAAAAGATGCGTACAAGAGCATATGCGAAAGTTAAACAGGGAGACGTCCAAGGTTCAGAGCTAGCACAACACGCAGAGAATCCGGGTTCCTTTGCTAATTTCGATGAAAGCATTTTATCTGATAAAGAAAAGCACTGGACAAGAAGAAAGAAACTGGAAACCATATACACTATTGCCAATAACGGTTATAATAAATGTAAAGGGATAGCTCGCAGTGGAAGTTCACTATCACGAAGTGGGTCCAACCAAGGACGAGAAAGAACTTTTACCCGACAGTACAGGAACCAGTCGTTAAGTCTGTACAAACTACAAGTAGCACTACCACTAGTCATAATACAACGTATAAATATCAGAATATGAGCTATAGTTTACGCCGACAAAAGAGGAAAAATTATAAAGAATGATTAAACAATAATTCTATCCTTGTATGATTCTCTTTCTAAGCTGCCTAACTCGATCCGTCGATAGATAAATATATAATATAAAGAAACGTTGTGTTTGTAAATATCTTAAACTTGTGTATTTCGCTTGGATTATCTGCCATTTTCGAACGAATAAGTACATCTTGTGTCTATACTATTCTTGGAGAGAGAGAGAAAATGAATAGATCGTGTAAAAAGAAAAGAAAAATAGACGAATAACAATAAAGAAAAGGTCTAAGCAGTCATACTAAAATTTTAGTGCTGTACCCAGGAGAAAAATCTCGAATGCAGATCTTGATAAATCTTTAAAGATTTCTCAAACTCCGCCCCAGATCTTTCAAGGGTGTACAGGTTTATCGAAATCTGTCAAGATTCTGAATGGAAGGCAATGCTGCAGATTTTCCACTAGTTTTGTATCAGAACCTGTCGTGATAAATCTTGAGCAGATCTTGTCAAGATATGTCAAGAATTCTGAAATGATTAATTTAATACGCAATAATCAGAATTAATTATTATTATTGTTATTAACAGATTTGGGAATTTGAAAGAAAATCTTACACTTTAGTTTCTATTTTCTATTTTTATTTTTTTCTACTCTATCACTGCAATGTAAGCTCTACGGTACTATGCATATAGTACCAGAGTTGTTGAAAGTATTAGTACTATTTTACTAGATAAGTACTATTTTTACAAAATCACCAACAAATGTTTTGACCCCGGTCAATTTTTTTCTTATTTCTGGTTCTATCTATACGTTTATTTTCAAGCCATCGTTTACGTTTACGACGAAACGTTCATCATTTAGTTTTCTTTTAAGGGCCCTCCTCCCCTTAGAAATTCCCTCCATCACCATACATACGATCTTGCCAAAACTTTCCATAAATGTTAGGTACAATGAGTTACACGAATGAACATTTCTATTGTCTCCGAGTGTTGTCGTTTAGGAGTTTTCTAGAGATCAAGGCCCAAAAAAGAATTCTCGTGTAATTCCTATGTAGAGAAAACGCTGTATTCAATTTATTTACGCTGTATTCATAAAATGATCAATTTTAGGACTTGTAAAAAAATACCCTTAACTTTTCGATGCAAAGTCATACAGAGTTGTGCGAAGTCTTATTTTGATCAGAAAAGTTTGCTCTACAAATTTACGCGCTCAGAAGGAAATTTTATTGTATAAATCTCCAGGATCAAGCGATACAGGTTCTGAAAGTGAATGAGACAGTGAATGAAACAACTGCCTTTATTCAAATGTTTTGCGAAAAATAGTAAAATAATGTAGTACATTTCCATAACGGAGAATGACAACTTTTACTGAAATAGGCCGAAAACTACTTCCATGTTTTGAAATTCCGTTACGGCCTCTATTTTGACTATATTTTTGACCCGCTTGTTCAATCAAGCTCGAATTCTTTTTAGTATTAGAACTCCCTAATATCCGTCGTTGATATAAATGTCATTGATAAACGTTGCTTCTTTATTGATTAGGTTGCCAAGATAACGGGCACCGAAGACGAAAAAATGAAATTCCGTAACATTTGGCCAAGTCGAAAACCATTCATTCATTTTACCCAGTTTTTCCACCAAGGAAGAAAACAGAAAAAGCATCAATATATGAACACACAATTTTCTACATACATTTCAAAAATTGAGTTCTGATTACAGAGGATAATTACTTTACACCCGTACTTTTTTTTATCCTGGATATTCTAAGGATCGCTCAAAGCAAAAGAACTAAGCACAAATTTTAACATATGCCTTTTTCTCATCTGTTACAGATAGTGAATGAGTTTTCTATCAAGAGACAACCTTTGTTCATCAACAACACCAGTCTTTGTCAAATTTATGCTAAGTTGTCAATAATTACTTCGGTGAAATCCTGGTATCGACTAATTGCAATGATACTCTTTGCAACTTAATTTCAGATAGATCCCACGACTTTTATTATAATTAAAAATAAGCTCAGTTTGTAAAGAATGACGTTAAATTTGGCTCGGACAAACATAAGCAGAACGCCAAAAGTACGATTGGAAAGAAAAAGAGTGGTTTTGGGATCTGGAATTTTGTTATTTTGTTTTCTGTCCTAAATGAAGTTTAATTCCAATTGAGATGTTAGACAATAGCAGACTTCTTGGTCAGGAGGGCAGAAAAAATAAGGAAATACAAAACCGCCGATTTTGACAAATTCAATGCGTTTTATTGTCAGCGAAAGCTTCTTTTATGCACACTTCTGAGAAAGTGAATCATTCAAGATTCTTCAGCTTCAAAAAAACAACTACTGCGTACACATATGTTCACCAGACGTACATGACTAGATTGTTCTCGCCAAGCGTTATCAAATGGTTTACGGATATATGCTGTACATCGCAAAGGGAAAAAAGTGTAAAAGAATCGCCTGATAGAAGATCATCCCCTATTAAAAGAATCGCCGAATTATTATTTTCATGTAGAATATTTGTAAGGCAAACACATGCATGTATTAAAAAAGGACAAGGAACAACCGAAAATAAAAAATATTCACACAAATAAACGTTCATCTTTACTTAACAATACAAATACACCGTTGTCGATCCAGTACGTATCTAGGTATGAGACGAATCGAGCGGACGCTCGTTGCGTGAGCGAAACAGACGAATCGCGCTCGTCATCCGAGCGAAACACACGAATCACGCTCGGTATCCGAGCACTCGCATATCATTCCTAATTTAAATAAGTTCTCTACAAGAGAGGTAAGTTCTCTAGCACAAAAAAATATTTAAATAATTGTTTACTGGCTATGTAAATAGCTGCTCACTTATTATGTAAACAAAAAACTATACTTCTATAAAAACTGTATTGCAGTGGACGAGCGCACTTGTGTAAAATGTGCTCGATCGACGAGCGCGCTTGTTGGAATGCACTCGAGCGCGAGCGCGCTAAGGTTTTCTTTGCTCGAGCGCTCGATTCGTCCCATACCTATACGTATCATCTAATAAACTACCAGTATCTTCGTAATTCATCAAATATATACATGATTTATTGTTATTTATTTTCTGCTTACGATGATATTTATCCGTTAAATGGACCTCACCGGAAGCCGTTAATAATTGCTTTGACTGTTGTTTTAAACGAGACCAACAAATATCATCTAACACCATATAATCTGCTTCGTCACACCATTCAGCCAAACTAAAACTGCCGCGGTGAAACATCTGTGTGCCAAGTACACAGGCAAAAGCCGTTTTTCCTAAAGCAAACATACAACTGTGAAAATCTCAGGCTGTGACGAAGTAATGTGCAAGAGAAAAAAGAAAATGTACTAACCTGATTGTGAGTATCTGATAATAAACAAACATTTGCTTCTTGTTCTTGTTGGCACGCGATCATGAATACGTTGTTGGAAATCATTTTCTAGCCAATGATTAACTTTGTTGTGATGAGCAGGTGGTAGTGAAAATGGTGTTACTGGATTGATAATTAAGGAGTTGTTCTAATTTTTGTTCTTGATCAACGACGTGTTGTAATGTGTTTTTCATGGACGAAAATGTATTAAATATTCATACGGCATTTTGGATTGTAAAATGTTCGAAGCAATGATAGCCAATTAGGCGTTCAATACAAATTAAAGATGTACTAAAAATTATATTACCATCGGATACGGTTGTCTGCTGTAAAACTAATGCTGCATTTTCATTTCGTTGGTAGAAGTACGTACTGTTCTTTCTGTTTGGCTGTTTTTTAATATTGAGTGATCTATAGCTCGACGATTCTGTAAAATGATCGTTATTAAATTTTATTTCTTCATTAAAATCATCATCGTCTAATACTTCTTCATAATTAAATCTTGTTGCATTTGGTGCTATATTACCTAAAAATAAACGTTTATAATTA